TGGGGCTCACAGAACTGAGAAGTTCCAGGGGTCATGTGACATGAGGCATGACTGTCCCCCAGGGGGGACTTCAACTGCAGCAGCAGGAACGCATTTCCATCTCCTGGCCCCTTGTTCCCCTCTCTTGGCCTCATCCTCAGAAAGGCTCTCCCCACATGGGACCAAAGATGATCAGCAGCTGCTCCAGGCCTACATCCTGCCAGCTTGGCCATCTATCAGAAAGAGAATTTTTTTCTGGTAATCCCAGCACAATGCCCAAGGTAGGGCTGTCATCATCCCAGCTCACATGTTTCATTCTCAAGACAGGAGACTGTGTAACAGCAGAGCAGTGCAGAGCTCTGATCTGGAAGGCCTGCATCATACGCCCCCTCCAGGCCCTGGTGCCTCAGCCCCCTACCCTGACCACATGAAACAAGAGGAGGGAAGGGTTTGTTCCCTAAAGGTCTGCAGGGGTGCTGTTCCAAGGAGCTGCTCAGGCCCAGCACGAGATGCCCACTAGCCTAACAGCAGAGTCTGCACTGGGGGAAGAAGATCAGGGCAAGTTGAATAGGGTCTAAGGAAATACTGCTATTCAAGAAGGGTGAGAAACTTCATAAATAAGTGTCAGGGACTCCAGGAACCAATAGAGACCAAGCAGTTAGTGATGTTTTGGTGAGTAGAAAAGGGTTTCCTCATTGAACCATTCAGTTAGACAGGGAAGCTATAGTATGCTGAATACTGGCCCCCAAATATGTCCATGTATGAATCATCAGAGCCTATCCATGTTACCTTATAGGGCAAAAGGGACTTTGAATGAAGTTTGGGATGTTGAGATGGGGAGATTATCCTGGATTACCCAGATAGAGACGGTGTCATCACAAGCATCCTTGTAAGAGAGAGGCAGCAGGAGTTAGAGGGGATGACGTGATGCAGGAAGCAGGGATCGGAGTGATTGTTTTCAAGGTGGAAGAAGGGGCCAGCAGCCAAGGAATGAAGGCAGCCATGAGAGGTGAACAAGGAAACGGATTCTCCCCTGGAGAGTCCAGAAGGCACCAGCCTGGTTAACACCTTGGCCTCAGCCCAGTGAGACTGATTTCAGACTTCTGACCTCCAGAAATGGAAGAGAATAAACTTGTCTTGTCTTAAACGGCTAAGTAGTAATTTGTTACAGTGGTCATGGGAAACTAACACACAATGAGCTGAAGTTGAAGATAACCTGGAGTAGGCCAGGCAGACAAGGGAGAGGCTGAGCACTCGTCCTCTGTGAACAGCACAGGCTGAGACACCCAGGGTCACATGGAAACAGCAGGGGCACCTGGCAGAGGACAAGAGATCCTGGAGGGCACTTACCCCACCATGGAGATGGGACATTCTACTGAAGCCCAGGGTAAGCTTTGGAAAGGTTTTAACAGTAAAATCATGGGATCTTGTTAATGGTTTAAGGTCTTCCTGGCAGTGCTGAGGAGGGCGAGTTAGGTAAAGATGTAGTAGTTAAGGCACAAGACACAGAAATTACTGAAGATAATTTTGTAGTGGTCCCTGCAACAAATGATGAGGACTGAGCTGAGGTACAAAGTGAGAATGAATCAGGGGCCAGATTCAGGAGATGCTGAAGGTCAGAAAGGCCTTGTGACTGCTAGATGTGGTAGGATGAGGAAGAGGACGGACTGGTTTCTGGTTTCAGCGACTGGGAGGACAATTGACGAGGAAAGAAAATACAGGAAGGAGAATGGATTTCAGAAGAAGCTAAACAGTTCCATTTGGGGCACAATAGGCTTTGTCATCCAGTAGCTAAGCAATAATGTCTAGTTGGCAGCTGAGAACAGGTCTGGATCCCAGGAGAGATGCCCAGTCCCAGCTGGATTAGAAATCACAGATGTTTTGGTTATCAGTGTATGTAAGTTAGTCGTGTGAGCCTGTTGAGTGGATAAGCTCATCAGAAGACTGGACAGGAGAAGGCTGAGGCCGCACTGGGGATATGTTGGTCCAGGTCTAAGGAAAGGAGACAGAGTGGCCAAGAAGGCTGAGACAGCGGCCAGGGGCAGTAGCAAAACATGAGATCAAAGACCACACTAGCATTTCTAGACACTCAGAGATCCCATTCAGTGAAACGGAAGCTTACCGTGTACTTAGAAGACGTTTAGGCTAAGTCTAGAGTGTAAGAAAATGGCAAGAAGAACAGAATGTCTTGACTCATCACTATAATCCACTGTGCCATGAAGAATTCCCAGACCATGCAAGAGTTCCCCAGGTGGCCTTGGTAAAGTTTGCCAGCAAAGGGAGGATGAAACTTTTGATTTGAGTTATTCCTATAGGGTTGCTTGGACTAGACTTATCTCTCCTTATCCTTTTATGGATCAGACAAATTATTTTCATTAGTGGTTTCTCTACTTTTCTTTTTGCTTATTAGTTATTATACAAGTAAGTATGATGATTATAGAATATGGAACTAATGCAGAAGCATATTAAAATAAAAAATAAAAGCTCCTAAATCCTACTGCTTAGAAGTAACCAGTATTAAAAGTTTCGTGCCTTTCAGATATTTTTACTTATTTGTAAACATTTGACATTTTGTGTTATAAAAATGAGATGATACCATGCATGCTGTTCAACTAGCTTTTTAATTTATCATGGATGGTTTTCCATGCCAGTACAATATAGAGCTATAATATCCTTTTTAATGGCTGCATAGTACTCCATGGTTTGCATATACCGCAGTTCATGTAACTTATGTTATATATGTTATAATTTATGTTTTTGCACACTTGTAGAAGTGTTTCAAAGAGAGATTTATAAAAGTAGAATTGCAGAGTCAGAACTATTAATATTTGCATTTCTGATAAAATTCAAATTGTACTCCACGAAAGCTGGATGGAAACACTGAAAGGCTAAATAAATAATTGTATTTAGTTTTCCTTTAAACAGAAAACATTAGGTTTAGTGCAGATTGGGGGATTTTAACATTTCCCTTCTCAGCTTTCAGGAGTCTCTGTCTTTCCATATGTGTTAATACCTAAAATCAAAGCAGAAGGAAGGAACAGAAAGGGGAGCTTAGCTATATAGTGGGTATCCTGAGGGAGCGCCCATGACTTCAGCAGAGTGCAGTGTCCGGGCTTTCCAGACCTCAAAGGTCCAGCCTTCTGTGATCCCTGAAATCCCTGGGCAGACCTGCTTGGAAAGAAGCCTGAGGGAGGGCAAGGGTCAGAGGGGCACACACTGAGGGGCCACCCCGTCTAGATCGAAGTGTATGTTCTGGTGGGGAAAGCAGGCACTAAGCAAACAGGCGAGTATAGCATAGATTGTTGGGCAGTGACAAACGTTGTGAGAAAGAATGAAGCGGGGACAAGGAAGCTGGCAGGTGGTAAGAGGGCCACATTAGCTGGAGTGCCTGGCATCGTGGAGACCTCGCTGTGCCGAGACCTCCTGAACGAATGGATGAACCACGCTTAAGGGCTAGAGGAAGAATATTCTGTGCAGAGGAACTCAAGCCAAGGAGGAAGCATGGCATGTTTAAGGCCCAGCATGGCTGGCATTGTGATTGGCAGATGTGGACAGGGACAGTGACACAGCAGTGTGTCTGTGAGGTCATCTGAGGCTGCATCATCTGATATGGTGGCACATATCAATTAAATGATTGCTTAATTAAATGAATCGATTAAATGATTGAGATTTCAATGTCAGGGCATGGGGCATGTTGGAAGAGCTATTCTCAGATGCTGTTTGTTGGGAATATGAATTAGTGGATCCTTTTGCTGGACCCTCGGATTGTGCATAGCAATACTGCAAAAGAGCAGACTCAGTCCAGCAAAAGTGATTCTGTGCATTTGTCCTCTGAAGATTCTGTCATGTGTGTACAAAGAAAGCAGAATAGTGTTTATTGTAGCACATGTAGCTATTTCAGCAGCTAAACTTGTAACAATCTGCATGCTCATCCATACGACGATGGTGAACTGAATTATAGTATATCTTTGCCTATTTGTATGATATGGCTCTTTTTTTAAAAAACTATAAATACACTGATAAGAAAAAGATCTCAAAAATATGGGTAAGTAAAAAGAAATTGCAATGTTTGTTTCATGTATTTAACTAATAGCTGCATTTGTATGTATTATTTATAAGTACCTAGAAAAAGATCTGGGAGAATAAACACTAAATTGCTAGCAGCAGTTACCTCTAGGAAGAGGAGAGAGGTCCTAGGGTTTGCGGGTAAACGTGGGGGCAATATTCATGGTCTGCAGTCTAAGGAACACCAGCAAGCTTTGTTTTTGAAATGACGTAACAGTGTGCTGAAGCCAAGGCAGGTTTGGGTTAATCCAGGTCTGTGTGATTTCTCTAAGCTCCCATCCATTGCTCTTTGACTTTCTGACAAAGGTGATGTGGAGGTGAGCGCTGTGCCCAGCACACAAAGGAGAAGCTGCACTGTGCCCTGGGTATCACTGGACACAATGTGAGGAGCTTCTGCCGGACCAGCTCTGGCAGCAATTTCCACGAAGGCTCAGCTGCATCCAAGAGAGCTAAAAGGCTCTCTGGGTCACCTCTGTGGACCTGCTACATGGAAATTAATTAGAGTCAGACCGTGTCCCCTGTGGCTTGGCTCCGGGTGATGCCAAAGTCATTAGCAGCCATGTGCAGCTACAACTCCCTTCCCCGTCTTCTGAAAATTTGTTTCAGCAGAGACAGGAAGGCAGACTAAGTTGGTGATTGAGATTTTAATTTTGGATAGTTTGGTCGGGGTCATTGGGGTGGCAGTGACTTCCAGAGAAGGGGGCATTTTTCATTAAATCAGAGACAGCAGTGTCCTTACTCCTCCCCTGAACACTCAAAACTTAACTTCGCTTTCCTATAAACAAGTGTGTCATTCCTCAAGCACAGGGGGTCGTGACCATGGCAACAAATCACCCAAATATTTCTTTTGTTGATCTGTTTGACTTTTGTGATGCCATCCTTTCCACAATTTATGTTGCCCTTTCAATTTTAACTAGCTTGCCTTCTTTCTATTTCTCTTTTCAAACTATACATAGGAACAAAGAAAGAAGCTCAGAAAGATCAAGACACTAATAAGCCCGCCGTTTCATCTCCTAAGAGAGGAGCAGCTTCAACCACCAAGCTTCATTCACCAGGTATTTAAGAAATATGATGTGTTACTTGGGGAGATGACTTGGACTTGGTATTTATCTTATTCAGATGTCATTAATGGAACAATGCCATCCCACGTGATTTACATGATTGTTCCAGAGTTTGGCATACATATGCTGATGTTTTCTGACTCCAGATGAAATGAACCAGCTGTTGACACCATTTTATCTTTAAAAAGCAAGATGTTATGCTATGTTTAAGTGGGAGAATCTTCTCTGGGTAGGGGTATCTGCTATTCCAATAGCATGTAGAAATAATTTATAATTACTGAAAAACAGACTGTAAAGATCTATCCTCAAGAAGTAATATTGTCTAAAAGGAAGAAGAACAGAGATAATGGGTATCAAACGATTTGTTACTCTATCAGTGAGCAAATGATTTATTTGCATTCAGATATGAATAAGCTACATAACGTTGCTTGAACGTCAAAATTGTTTATTATGAATATTCCTGGCCAGGCATGGTGGCTTATGCCTGTAATCCCAGCATTTTGGAGGCCAAGACAGGGCAGATCACTTGAGGTCAGGAGTTCGAGACCAGCCTAGCCAATATGGTGAAACCGTATCTCTACTAAAAATACAAAAATTGGTTGGGTGTGATGACTGTCACCTGTAGTCCCAGCTACTTGGAGGCTGAGGCAGGAGAATCAGTTCAACCTGAAAGGCAGAGATTGCAGTGAGCCAAGATCATGCCACTGCACTTCAGACTGGGTAACAAAGCGAGACTTCATCTCAGAAAAACAAAAAGAATATTTCTATTGTAAGATAGTCATGCCATTGTAGAACAGTATGCAACACAATCTGAAAACATTCTTTTTTTTTTTTTTTTTTTTTTTTTTTGAGGTGGAATCTCGCTCTGTCACCAGGCTGGATTGCAGTGGCATGATCTCAGCTCACTGCAACCTCTGCCTCCCAGGTTCAAGCAATTCTCCTGCCTCAGCCTCCTGAGTAGCTGAAATTACAGGCATGCACCACCATGCCCAACTAATTTTTATATTTTTTGTAAAGACAGAGTTTCGCCATGCTGGTCTTGAACTCCTGACTTCGTGATCCGCCCACCTCGGCTTTCAAAAGTGCTGAGATTACAGGCATGAGCCACTGCGCCCAGCCAAAACATTTTCTTTAAGCCCCAAAATAGTGGCCATAATAGCAGCTAATGTTTGAGCTTTGATGTATGCCAGGTACTGTCCTATGCTCTTTCAATGCCTTAATTGATTCAATATCCACAATAACTGCGAAACAGGTTGTATTATCTCCCCTCTCTTTACATGTGAGAAAACTGAGGCACAGAACATTTCATTAATTTGCCCAAAGTCACTGGTAATAAATCAAAGAGCCTTGGTTTGAACCTAAGCAATCTGTATCCCAAACTTGCACTCTTAGTTGCTACACTGTTAACCCAAAAGCGCAGAGAATAGAGGACTTATTAAAATTTCTGATTAATTAAAAATTTATGGAAAATAGGTCAAACCTGGAAGTGTGAAGGGCGGGAGACAAAGCCTGGTACTTGAGTGAGAGATCAGATCTGAGGACCCTGCATAAATCTGGAATTTCTAAAGGATAATACCTTGGCCAGATAAACAAGGAAGGAAATCACCCTGCAGGAGACTGGCCGATTGCAGCTCTGGCTCTGAGGGAAGCCACGGATGGGGAGCCCTCCCACAGGAACCTTTGACCACGAGCCAGCCCCACTGCAGTTGAAGAGCTGGCATCTGTGCTGCCACTGCTCTGAAAATCCAATTTAAAATGCCGTAGTGCTTATAGCTACTTAATCGAATAAATGTGAAATCATTATACACAAAAGGAAAGATGCCACCATAAATAAGGTCCTTACATCATAGAGAAAGGGTAAAAACAATATGTAACTTTAGACTTAACGATGTTAACATATTTGTTAAAATTTCTAAGATAGCCAATAAAATACATACGTTATTCTGAACCAGTAGAGGGGAGAATGTTGGAATGAGGGATTTAAAAAAGTTGAATCAATACAAAGGAAGAAAACAAGAGGAAAAGAAAGAAGGCCAGGAGGGAGATGGGAGAAATTGAAAGCTTACAGTAAGATATTAGAAATGAACTGAAATATGTCATAATGACTATATGTGAACTAAGCTCTCTAAACTAAATCAAATATTTAGATTACCAGAGCCGGGCGCACTGCCTCACACCTGTAATCCCAGCACTTTGAGAGGCTGAAGGTGGTTGGATCACCTGAGGTCAGGCGTTTGAGATCAGCCTGGCCAACATGGTGAAACCCTGTCTCTACTAAAAATACAAAAATTAGCTGGGCGTGGTGTTGCGTGCCTATAACCCCAGCTGCTTGGGAGGCTGAGGCAGGTGAATCACTTGAAACCAGGAGGCAGAGGTTGCAATGAGCCAAGATGGTGTCACAACAGTGCAGCCTGAGTGACAGAGTGAGACTCCATCTCAAAAAAATAAAATAAAATAAAATAGTTTTTTAAGAAATAGATTACAAGACAGCATTTACTTATTAAACAGTCAAAAAGTATGTTTTAAGTGCATTTTATGTGCTGTAAAATCTAGCTTTAGATTGTTTCCAAAGTATACTCCTAAAATATAAAAAAATTCAAAATGTGTAAGAATGGAAATATTAATATTTATACCAAAAAAAAACTAAACTGAAGAAAGTTTGTGGCACTATAATTGGGAAACATCTCTATTGTGGAACAATGAACAAATATTAAACTACCCTATGTTTAACGTATAGAACAGGCGCCCCCACACTTTTTACACAGGGGGCCAGTTCACTGTCCCTCAGACCGTTGGAGGGCCGCCACATACTGTGCTCCTCTCACTGACCACCAGTGAAAGAGGTGCCCCTTCCTGAAGTGCGGCGGTGGGGCTGGATAAATGGCCTCAGGGGGCCGCATGCAGCCCACGGGCCGTAGTTTGGGGACACCTGGTATAGAACTTAGTAAGTTTTGTCGTGTGTACACAGCTGTGGAACCATCACTTCATGCAGGATAACACACATGTCCACCAACCTTCAAAGTTTCCTGGGACTCCTTTGTCATCCCACCTGTCCACCATTCTATACCCCGACCCCAGTCCCCAGACAACCTCTGATCTGTTTGCCATTAGAGATTGGTTGGTATTTTCTAAAGTTTTATATAGATGGAATCATTTAATGTGTATACTGGTTTTACTGGCTTCTCTCAACGTAATTTAGATTCATCCATCTGGCAATAACCAATTCCATTTTACTGGTGCATAGAATTCTACATAAGTATCACTATTTATTGATTTGTTGATGGAAATTGGGGCTTCCCCTGCTCCAGAATTTGGGTATAATATGTAAAGCCAAATCTTTGTACAAATATACAATATTTGTACAAATCTTGGTATGAATATCTGCTTCCATTTCTTTTGGGCAAATATCTAGGAATGAAGTAGCTGGGTCATATGGTACCTATATGTTTAACTTCTTAAAAATGTGCCAAACTGTTTTCCAAAGTGGTTGTACCATTTTACATTCTCAACAGTAGTACATGACAGTTCCAGTTTCTCCACATTCTTGCCAACTCTAGACATAATCAGTCTTTTTTAATAGACAGTCTAGTGTGTTATGGTACCTCATAGTGGTTTTAGTTTGCCTTTTCCTGATAACTAATGTTATAATGTTGAGTATTTTTCTATGTGTTTGACAGCTGTACATGTTCCTTGGTAAAATATCTATCCAAATATTTTTCCATTTTTTAAATTGGGTTATTTTCTTATTTTTGAATTTTGAGAGTTTTATATTCTAGATGTAATTCTTTTTTATGTTTTTAATTACTATAAATTTTATTAATTTACAAAAATAGTGTTAATTTTCCACATATGAAAATACATTTGATAATAGAAAATTCCAAATTCTGCCAAAATATGTTTAAAGAGGTGCATTTTGGCCAATATGAATAACCATGGCCCAGGTCACACAGTCTCAAGAAGTCCTGATAAAGTGTGCCTAAGGCAGCCAGATTTCAGCTTGATTTTATACATTTCAGGGAGATGGGAATTGCAGGGAAAATCATAAATTAATATCAGGAAGGTGTACATTGGTTTGGCCTTGAAAAGGCCAGACATCTCAAAGCAGAGGGCAGGGGAGATCGTAGGTGGGTTTTAGGGATTCTTTAGTTGACGGTTGGGAGAGTTAAGCTAATGTCTAAAATTTGAAATCAATAGAAAGGAATGTTTAAGTTAAGATAAGGGAGTTGTGGAGACCAAGGTTCTTAGTGTGTAAATAAAGCCTCATAGGTGGCAGCCCTCAGAGAGAATAGATGAAAAATGTCTCTTTCCAGACTTCAAAGATATCAGGCTCCCAGTTAACTTCTTCAGATCTGAGAAAGCCTAGAAAGGGCAAGGTCTGGCTACCTTAGTGGAACATTAATCTGATGCAATTTTTTTCCACAAAAGACAGCTTTGCAAGGTCATTTTAGTCTGATGATCCCGTGGCAGCCATTTCAAAATACGTTAAATAAATATATTCTGGGATAAAATCTTTTTTACTTCCTTCAGCATCTGCTATGTGTTATGCTATGCAGTACACCGGAGTAAGGTTGGAAAGTAAGCTGCATTATATAGGGCTCATAAAACCTGTCTGATGAGATTTTAAGGTTTGTAAGGCATGACACCCCCTATCAGGTCCCTTAGGTAAGAATTTGGGCAAGAGAAAAAGAAGGTCATAGTCCTCACAATTAAGAACTATTATTTTATGTTTCACACGGCTTATTATATTTGTAAGTGGTAGATAATTATAGATTTCTGACTGTTACTATATTTTAATATACCTGTTATTTTATTATACTTTAAGTTCTGGGATGCATATGCAGAACGTGCAGGTTTGTTACATAGGTATACACATGCCATGGTGATTTGCTGTGCCCATGAACCCATCACCCACATTAGGTATTTCTTCTAATAGTATCCCTCCTATAGCCCCCCACTCCCTGACAGGACTAAGTGTGCAACATTCCCCTCCCTGT